TCCACTTCCAGCCTTTTCTACTGGTGCATCCTTCGAACTTCCACCAGTTGGCTTTGGGTTTCACCTTCCCACCCGAATCCTGCCCTTGTTCCTAATAGCTTATTGTTACTACTAGTAAGGCACTTGTTACTAGAAGCGATGCACTTGTTTCTAGTAGCTTCCCACCCCTCTCTCCGGCCCTTTCACCGGAGAGAGGCACCGGGGCACGTCCGAGGCTTCGGATCCCTCCCTGCAGCCTGGAGTGCCCGGCGTTGAGGGCGCCACCGCCTTCCCCCGAGCCAAACAAGAGACGGAACGGGTGGTCCAAACCATGGAACGGTGAAGCATCTGGAAGCATAGAATGCCAAGTAAGAGATAGGCATCAGGTGAATGATGTGAATGAGGTGAATGAAGTGATAAACACTGCAAGACGGAAGAGCTGAGAAGTCAAATAGAAAAACGACAGATGACACCCACCCGAAAAATCCTTGGAAACAGTTTCGTGGAACAAATTACGCAATTAGAATTGTAAAACACATGCTTTCTAGATGTTTGGTGTTTTGCCGGGGTGAAAGAGGTGAACGAGTGTTTGTGAGAAATGTTTGACGTGATTCTGGGGGTGTAACTGTGATGCTGTGATGATTTGGATGTTGTTTTCTGAGAAATAGTTACTGTATCTGTAGTTATGTTTCGGTGTTGTAAATGTTGATGATTTGATGAAATTGTTGAACATCATGCTGTATGACAGTGATGTAGTTCTGACAGTGTCTTTCGCATGATTTTGGTGGGCAGTGGGGACTAGTTTTGGTGTTTTCTTCTGTTCTTGCTTTTCAGGGCTCCAGCCAGCATCTCCAGCACAGTGACAGTAGAGTACACAGTTGGCATTCTAAACGGTTTCTACTAACCCACTTCGGCAGTGAGTGCCATCAACTTCAGTCGGTCGACCCACATGGCAGGGCTCTAAAGGCGGCCACCCGTCCAGCTGCGCATGGACAAATATTCTTGATTGGTGCTTCCAATAGTCCAGCTGCGCGCGGTTCCTGTCGTCACGGGGTTCTTCCTGGCCGACCGAACTGGGTCCCGTTTTTCGTCACGATGCGCAGGTTGGAGCATGTGTAAACCTCAGCCTCCTTCAAAGTGGCACCTTGTAGAGGCAAGTGCCCACTTGCCAATATTGACTGTGCGGGTTGCAAACTGTTAGGAACTTGTTGGACACATCGAATCATACATGAGTTATAGGGTAATGTTCTGGAAATTGGGTGACCCAAACCAAAGGGTCTTCGATGGTTTTAGTCTGTCTCGGATCTATTTGAGCTCTTTGAAAAGGGGTCTCCATCTGTTTCTACTAGGAGCAAAGGGCATCGCTGCTAGGAGCAAGGATGCTACTAGGGGGTCCTGGCATTACTATTAGTAGCAAGAATGCTACTAGTCAAGGGTTTCTCAGCTTCCAGACTTGACACAGGACGGCGCGCAGCCACTCTTTCGGGCACCGGTTGGCACTGGCACGGCCCTGCGCGGTCCAGTCTTTGGTGGTTTCCGTCTGTCCCCCCGCGGTTTGCTGCGAAAAGTGTCCGGTTTTCAGCGAAGTCTTGTGTAGTCAGCCCTGCAGCGGGAGACAGACTTTGCAGCAAAGACTTTGCAGTCGTTTCACAGGTCGACCGACTAGTGACCAGGAAGGTCTTCGGAAAATGCCGCCGCGCACCGGCGCACCGCATGCTGCTCGACGATCCGATCGGGCGACGATCGGAGGCAGGTGAGGGCCGGGACTGCCCGGGCAGTCCAGAAGGTGATTACTCCATTTGGCAACTGAGCTTTCGGTAAAGAAAAGAAGCACATGAATAGCAAACATAATGTAGTGTAATGGTCCAATGTATCATGTTGTCTTGGAAGCTGTTGCGTTCAGGTTGGCGAGGACCTCGGAAGCAGCCATTGTTGAGGAACATTTCTCCAAGCCACCTGAGAGAGGCCCCCCTCCCGTAGTTGCAGTGTGGTGAGAGGGGGTTGCAGATTCTATTGGGAGAGTTCCTTTGTCCTGGCTGGTGGCAGGAGGGCAACGCCAGTTGCTGGTGGCGCGTAGTGGCTTGGCAGCCGGAGTACGGAAAGTGGCTGGATGCATTGTGAATGTGTGGAGCACCCTCATTGCAGCCATCGCATGTTTTCTTGGCTGGGTGGGGTGGCTGTCCAAGCTCGTGAGGTTCCATACTTCAAGCACAAGACCCAGGGTGATCCAATCTCCCTCAACGAGCAGGCGGGCTGAACACATGCGAGCAGCGGCCAAGGTGCTAAGGTCTCATTTACCTCATTTCCCATTCAGAGGCTTTTTTGGGATTGCCGGAAATCCCACAGTTTTTTTGAACCACATAGGATTTCAGGCAAAAACACAGCGGGGAGATGCAGGGAGTTGGGGCGTAAACTCTTTGATGCGATGGGGAACATCATAATCATAAAGTTTTCATTTTTGATGTAAATGATCTATCTCTATGTTATATGATTACTTATTTGTTCGACGTGTGAGTATTTTGCCACTCTGGATTCATTATGGAGGTCATACTGTACAGACCGCACATATCAGTCGTTTTCCGGCTACGGGGGGTTATTCTGCATGCATTTTGTCAGACAAGCAAGCAAGATCAAACGTTCAACACACATGCCCTGAGTTCTGGTTCTTCCAGCTGCTTCCGTTTGCCAAGCCATCATTGTCTGCACCACGTTGCGCATCTTCCACCTGCGTTGTCTTCACCTCTCGTCTTTCTACGTTCGTCGCGTCTGGGTGCTTTGTTGCCACCAAAAAGGCATCATGGGCATCATCACTGTTCTGCAAGTTCGTCCATCACTTTCACACGATGTTGATGCCGCCGCGGAGATGATGTTCATCTAGCTCCATTGGCCGCCGCTGGTGGTGTATCATACGCATCCAAAAAGAGAAGAGAGAAAAGCGGAGAACTGCTGAGCTGACCATTTTGCCACTTGGCACGCGCGGCTTGCGCCGTAAGCTGCAGGTTTTGATTGAGAGCTCCCGCCTGGGCAACGATTGGAACCTGATGCTCAGCTGCTCGAATCGGGGTGTGTTTGTGCCTGTGGCTGGAAGACCGCGCCACTTGCTGCATAGAACCCCCGCAGTGTTTGGTGGGTGATGCTTCATCTAAGGTTGAGGATGTCTAGTGACCAGATGTTGTGCTCTGTCAGATGAATCGAACCTTAAGTTTGCAAGGTGAGCTCCATAACATAATTCAATGGTCGGTCTAGAGGGTCAACCCGCCTAACACCGCATGGACGAGCTTGCTGACATCCTTGTTTGGGCCAAGTGCCAACAGATGCCAGGCCGTTGGCACTTGATCATAGGCCCGTTCTGGCCCCACTAGAGGCCCCACACGCTGTTAAGGGAATCGTAGCAATGAGCTCTTGCGGATTCTGGCGAAAAACTCTGGATGTGAGTCTCCCTCCGTCTCCCTACCCCACATCATGTTGGAGCCGCAGTCCAGTTGGCCAGTTGCCCTCTTGCCCACCTGTTTCAGGGAATGCCCTCTCCTCTTCGCCCGCTGAAGGTGACAACACACCGTTCTTCCGCACGCCGCGGAACCTCGCCTGTGCCCAGGAATTGGTCGCGGGCTCGGAACCTTGCCAAGGATGAGGCAAGAGTTCGACATATCATGGGAGAGTCGGTGCACGGACTTCCACCACCCTTCCGCGGATTTACCTTTTTTTTGCGGGATTCACTCTGAATTCACCTTTAATTGAATATACAATCTTTACATATTTGGCACTCTCCCGAAAATACAAACTTTCCCAATGCAGTCTTTTGCATACATTTGGAGTCTCTCGGGGGGGGTGCCCTTATGTGGTTCGAGAAGCAAGCACATGTTTGTATACATCAGCACGTGCACACGCACACGGAGCTATATACATATATCTATCTATCTATCTATCTATCTATCTATCTATCTTTATATACATAGCTAGGCCCTCGTCTTGACAAACCTTGCTACTTGAGGCATACCTGGGCCCTCAGAGTGATACGAGCACACAAAGAGGGGCGACCCGGAAGCACACCATGAGATGACCGCCCCCACCCGCAAACAAGCAAGCCCCAACCAACAACCAGCAAAGGCAATTTTTAGGGAGGGAGTTCACATATGCTTCCAACTCACTAACATGGAAGTGGACAATGGACCCTTGGATGACTATGTTCCTTTACGGACAGGGTGGTTTTCCACTTCCATATTAGTCCGTCGGAGTATATATATATAAATATTTGTGTGGACAATTTTGACATGATCTTCTGAAGATGTAACCATATAATGTATACATACACATACATGTGTATATATACATATATATGTGTGTGTGTCTTGTCTATCTCAGGTGCGCCTGTCGGATTTCGTGAGGCAACATGCTACTTTACATACACAACTTTATATTCTCGGATTGTTTCATATTTTTGGGGGTCAAGTGGATAAGTTGGTCAAGATTCTGAAATGGAAGATGTTTGAAGCACCCTGAAGTCTTGGCCCCTGAGTTCCCACTCTGGTTTTGTATGAGTCTATTGATTTGGGGCACCCTGTGGATTGCTCTGTGCCCAAAGGATGGTGATGTGACATCGACGTGGGTTTGGAATTTCATTTACTTAAATACATAAATTTGATATGTATGTATATATATATAGAGATCCAATGTCGCCCATCACAGGTCAGGGCTAAAAGCTCAGGGAGCGCTGATACAATCATATTCGTAAGAAGTGGTTGCCGGTGTAAAGGGGCAATATTGGGATGGCCAACGTTCATGTAGGCGTGCACACTGGAGAGCACAAAACAGAGCTTCGACTCCCTGCTTCACCAGCCATTTCAACAACAAATCCAAGGATGAGAACAGAACAGCGAAGAAGAAACCGTCCAGCTTTGATCCCAACCAGGAGGCAGGCCTTCACGTACTGTGGTCAGTTGGCATATGAAAAAGAGTCAGACCACCACCTCACAGCAATTACGACAGCATTCATAGCAGCATTCATAGCAGCTGACAGCCACGTGAAAGGGGGAAACGTTTGGCTGCTGAATTTTCTGCACCCATGTCGCTTGCGGCCACGAAGACGTGTGAAGCTCTGCGCACTCAGAGAGCATTTTTGTTGTTTCTTTTTTGGAGGAGGAACCTCCATCAATTTTGGGCATTGGTCAGTCCGCAAAAATAGAAGCGACTCCCTGTCGGCATGTTTTCGCAAAACCACATCAAGCAGCAGAGAGGAATCCATGTTTTGTCCCATGAGACCACAAAAACCAAAAGCCCATAGACCATTGGTGTCAAGTCAAAACCACTCAGATCAGGCCCTCCATGTTTTGTCCCTTCCAATTTGAGGCTCAATGGACTTGACACCTGAATTCCGTCGCCTGGCCGGGCTTCGTTCCGTGCCTGACGAGCAAGATGAGCGCTTGATGAAGCCGCGCAGTGGCTTCATCCTGCAGGCAGAGGAGCAGCAGAGCCGATTGAAGCGTGGCCTGGAAGGATTTAATGTGGTTTGATTTTGTGTTTTGGTGTCCTCTGGCCGGTTCTTAGGGTTCACACATCAGCCTCCGATTTCAACCACGCACGTTTCTGCAGCGAAAAGCACATTCTAGGGCCTTAGGGTGCAACGTGATTAGGTGATTCAGGGACACCGGCTGTCGACACCAAGGCCTGCGACAAAGCCTGGACCGTGACGCCACGAAAGAGATCAATCACATCCAGGCCTGGATGTTCAAGCTACCGAATATAGGAATAGGAATAAATGGTAAATAGTAAATAGCATATTCTACGGCAAATCGTGTTGGTTCGGTCCGGCGCAAGCACCGAAGGAAAACCCTCTTCCAAAGCTGTTTGAGGGGATCTCGTGTTTTTCCTTATAACGCCAAGGAGGGGGGCAATAGAGAACATTTGATCATTGCAACTTGCACCGTGCCGAGAAACAGGTGGCCGAACCACGGTTACACTCCGAGTCACTACTTTTTAGTGGTCGCACTGTACGTAAGTGGTGAAGTCAACACAGGTTTTGTGGAGGTGGAGCTTTCATGGGGCACAGCCTTGCTGGAAAACAATGATTGACGAGGAAGGGGTGGTTGTCAGACCTAGTGGATGCTTTTGCGGGGATGTCGGTGGCTCAAGATTATGAAGCATAGCAGGTCGGAAGGGACTGTAACCGGTTCCAGAATCGAAACAAATAAAAAAACGACCCGGAATGTGGTCGTCTCAGGGTGTAGCATGACCCATCCTGCATGGTTTCGTTCTTGGAATCCCTTCCAAACAGGCCAGTGTCGCCCAGTTGGAGGCTTCTCTGGAGGTCGCCGATGCGTCGAGAGACGACCTCGGCCACCGCCGTGGTGTGGTGGCGGCGTTGTATGAGGAGCTTCGGACTCTGGCCGAGCGAGTTCAGCGAGAGCAGGTGAGACACTGTGAGTTCAGTGGGGGTGATGGGACATGTTCGACATTCCTCCCCACACTTTGACCCACCTGCATGTCTCAAGGCTTAGTTGAACACTTCTGACCCAGCATCGAGGTCAGTCAGCTCGAGCGAGAAGCAGAGGTCGCCAGCTTCTTCACGGCTCCCATGGCACCGAGCAAGGCACCGATGACAGTGCCTCCTGTGGTGCCCGCGATGGAGGATCTGGGTTTGCCCAATCTGGAGGCCAACAAGTCATCTCTACGTGCGGAGGACGTTGAGTAAGCTTTTCTTTTTTTGGGGGCATTTGGTGTCAGGGACGGTCTTCCACTGTTTTGCAGTGCAGGGGGCCTCAAAAAACCATCCCTCTGAACTCTTAGAGTGAGTCTGACAGTCTTAGGGCAGAACGCGGATGGACTCTTACCGCCTTCTGCCCTATGGCTGGGCCACCGTGCCGAGTTGAACCTCAGACCAAGGACTGGTTTTTTTTTCTCACTTGGCTACTGCCAACGCTCTCCGTACCTTCTCCAGGAGCAGCGGCTGTTGGCCACCTTCAGCACGGATTTGGACAAGATCCAAGAGACCCGGGCCAAGATCGAAGAAGTCGCGACCATGGTTGGGCTCTTTGCCACGAAGGTGGCAGAGCAGACCGAGCAGACGGAGACTTGTTAGCAGCACTTTTGTGACTTTTCTTGCCTGAACTTCGCATTTGCGCGCACTGGTTTTGTGCAAACAGGCCGCGGCCATGTGGTTTCTGATGATTCCTTGGCACTTGTCAACCAATCTGCTCTTTTTTTCCCTCACTGGGTTTTTGACTGGACCCGTGAGGACGAGTGTTACCAGCTCACGGAGCAAAGCACCAGCTACGTGGAAGGAGCGCAAAAGCATTTGGAGAGGGCCATTGAGAATCGGAACTCCTACCGCTTCTATGTGGTTTGCTGGTTCCTAGGCTCAGCGATCTTTCTACTGGTCTTTGATTATATTGATTCGCGCTGGTCCCTGATTTGAAGGTGCTGCGGAAAGGTGTGGAAAGGCGTGAAATCACGCCGGTGCTTTCTGTGACACAGTGGAGTTGTGCAGTGCAGCTCAGATGGTTAGGAGACTCGCATGAGAATGGATAGAAAGAAGAGAGATGCAGGGATGGAGAATAGAGAATGGGTGGAGAGTTGAAGCGTGCCAATGAAAAACAAGGGGCAGATAAATTCTTTTGGAACCAGCGGAGGTTTTCAATTCAACCGTAAGTGTTTGTTGGGCGAGGACTGGGACTCAACTTGGGATGGACGCGTAGGGTGGTTCAACATATGACTCCGAGGAGGACTCGGAGAAATGTATATATATATATATATAACGTGAAGACCGGATTAATAAACCCCCCTACCCACATAGAAGGTCTAGAAGGTCTAGGAGGTCTGAGGTACCATTCATGAGGTCCACTCCCCCCTGAATAATGTGCTATGAGGCCATTGGACCATGAAGGTTTGAGAGGGGATGAGCTGATGAGCATGAGGCAGCATGAGGTGAGAGTTGCTGAATGAGCAGCATGAGATTATGAGATGAGAGTTGATGAGTTGATTAATAAACCTCCACAAGTACAATCTTTTTTTTGGGTTGTGTAGGCTCGGGTTACCTGGGGGGTTTCTGGTGCCCAACTAGACGATTAGGGGGGGAAATCAACCATCAATGCTACTTTAACTAGAGGGGGTTTATTAATCCTGACTTAACATTATATGAGAAAGGAATGCTGTGTGTGGTTCATGACGGTGCCAAGCGAATCTCTTCCCACAAAGGGGCTTCTCCCTTCCCTTTCAGAACTCCCTTGAGAAAAGCGACGGCTTTTGAATGGCCTCTAGGAGGATATATACTGTAAGTTGGTTTGATTCCAGAACAATTCCAGTGCGTGGGTGCACCAACCCAGGTGAGTAGGGATCCTTTACTTGTTATGTGGAATAAACCAGGCCAACTTTATCACACTTTTTTGTGCATTGAACTGGTTACCAGTAGCGTTCTTGTTACTAGTAGTAAGGCCAGGAGCCTTGCTCCTAGTAGCCATGCCCTTTGTTCCTAGTAGCGACTTGTTCCTTTTGCATTCTTTCTCGTAAAAACTCGTTGGTGAAGGCCGTTTCGCCACCGAGAAGATCGACCGGCGGACCGGGCCGGCGGAACCTTCGCCGGACAACGGGCCTTCGCCGCACATTCGTCGAGGTCGAACGACCAAAAGGCATTTTTTTCAAAAAGAAAGTTGCGTTAGGGTGTATCGCATGATCAGTCGCAGTCGGTAAAGGAATTGATCACCATTTGGGAAAGGACTTTGTATTACAGTAACCATCTTCATCGACTGTGACTGGGAGATACCCAAGGTTGAGCATACTCCAGCGCACGGCAGGTATACAGAGGAACTTGAAATGGCGCTCAAAAACCACCCCACTGTCAGCTCGTGAATTTGAGAGTCTTGCTGGCTGCTCCCAAAGCCACCCCCCACGGTTCCATGGGGCAGGCCGCCCCCCCCGCCTCAGTGGGAGACTGCCAGGTCTTGGAAGTGAACTGCCTCAGACACGGAAGGACCTGCCGCGCCGACCGTCCCCGACTCCCGGACAAGCCGGGCGCCGGTCGCGAACAGGTCAGGTGGGACCTGGGGCTGTAGTCAGGGGGTTACCCGATGCTGCTGGTGAAAAGCACTCCAAAAGAATCCAACATGTAGCTTTGGGATGTTTTGCTTGTTTCCTCTTTGGTGCTCTTGGCTGGACTGCCTTCTGCATTTCACCCGCCCCTGAATGTTGAGAAGCGTCATTAGGGCCTATTTGGGCACCGTTGGTTGGGAATTGGTCACCGGGTCGATTGGGGAACGAGGCAAATGAGCAGCACCTCTGAATGTCCGCACGGTGGCAAGCATCATAGTGTCACAGGATGTCACAGGGCCTCCCTGTACATGTATAGCAGCTTAGCATTCATACATGCACATCTGAACCCATAAGCATGCTTGGAGCACATACGTCTCTCCACGGCACATATGTCTTTACAAACGCATACTGCATGAAAAAACATGACCTAATTATTCACAGACTCCAATGTCCACACCGAGCTTGGGTGACCATCGCCCAACCCTGCTCCCTGTGATGAACATTCCAAGAGCGTTTGAGCTCCAAAACATTTATCTCTTGTGTCATTGATGATGCTCCAAATGAATGAAGGTTCTACCGTTCTACCACGCTCCATTCCCCTGATGTCCTGTATAGAATTTAGACTTTTGTACCATGATTCAAGTCAGTTGCCAACTTTAGTTCTCAACAGCTGGTCCCTGGCACTGTTGGCATCCCATCGTCGGACATGGCCGGAAGTCGTCTCCCACCATTGGTGCTCTACAGGAACTTCTACCCGGTGCTCTACAGCCGCAATCAGAAGGTTGGCGTTCATTCCAATGCGGCTTAGCTTCCAAAACACCCGACGGTGGGCGACGAATCCAAGTGGGCTTACTCTGTGGGAATCTGTGGGGGTCTCGAAGCGGCGAGTGATGCGATGCAAGGCTGCCTGGTGGGTAGTAAAGAGTGTAGGATGGCAGCGAAGAGGCATTGGAAAGTGTTTTGGTGTGCTCGACTGCCATATGGAATGGGGCGGCTTTCCGCAGCCAGCAGCTCCTTCCCCTTGACGGAATCGGGGGTGTCAAGGCAAGGATATCAGAAAGACTGTCTCATCTCCGTTATGCCCGCCGCTCAGACACGCCGTCAACAAACCGGGGTTGGGCATGCTAGAAATAAACAGACCAAAATCTGACATTCCCTAGACTTCCAAGACCATTAAAAACATGGTTGACCTGGTTTTTGATTCGGTAAAGCCTGTTAAATGAATGGTTGTTGGAAGCCTAGGGATTGGACGAAAATAAATAGATGTGGAACAGGGCATGTTGGGTGGCTTTCCGTGGCCTCACGGCACGGGTCAGGACCTGAAGGTCACTTAAAACAGCATCAGGACTAGCCAGACAACCAAGGTCACTTCGTAGGGCCAAGCGGTACACACCCCAAAGCTCCGGAGCTTTGAGGTGGCAGGCCGTTTCCAGTTGGGAAAGCTGACCATTGTGAGGTATGATGCGTGATGTGAATTGGTCGGAGCCCGTCGATCGGAGCCCGTCGCAGCTGCGACTCCTTTTCGCCCTACCCGTCGCAGCACCACACACACACACACCAACAGAAGTTGAAGGACCCTAGGGGGCCTACACGCTTGACTACATGATATACCGTCAAAAGCATGCCCGTTGCGGGACGTTACGGGTCCTGTTTCAAGTCACCGAACCTCACGACACGTGCATCGACGGTGGTACGCCTCGGCCCCAGGTCATGGCCTTGACCTACCCGGACTGCATCCGTGGCTCGGACCTTCTGCGTGGTTCGGAACAAGCACCAACTTGGTTTGGGGGGTTGGATGTTTCACCAAGTGGGGTGGTCTGTCCCTTTGTGGTCCATGAGTCAGATACCTAGATGCCTGCCTGAAAAACGGTGTTTTTTTTGAGTGCATTTTTGTGTAGAACATGTTTTGGTTATCCTTTTGCTTGGAGTTGCCCAGCCCAACCCAGTCATTTTGGGTTCTGGCCAAGTTTTTGGCGTGGGGTCATGTTCCACAGGCAGGTAGAATACAATATGGTTCAAGTAGTGCAAGTTGTCTCCTTGCCTTATATATCCGCAAAAAGTTGCAGACTTTGCCGACATTTCAATGGAATAGTGACAAAGGAGGGTCATTATTTAGTGATCGTTTTTGCATCTCCGTGGTAGGCAGGAAGGAAGGAACGAAGGAAGGAAGGAAGGACGGAAGGAAGGACGGAAGGAAGGAAGCAGGGAAGGAAGAAAGAAGGAAGCACAGAAAGAAGAAACAACCAAAGCAAGAAGGAGCAAACAAGCAAGCAGGCAGGTAAGCAAATCAGCAATTCAAGGAGGCCACCGGAGGGTAAAGCTTAGAATTGTGAGGAACCATTCCAACATAGGGCAGCAGGAGGTCAAATTTTAGAGCAGATGAGCTTCTTCTTTGGGGGGGAGGTGCTTCCTCCTCCCCCAATCCCAAACATGCGATTAGTATCAACAAACTCCACCGCAAACAAGGGAAAGTAGGGCTTCAACCGCATCTTTGTGTGGTTTTTTGGTGTCCAATTTGTTTCTCAAACGCACCGTCCAACCGAGCCTCATGAATCCCTCGTCAGGCCTCTTCTATCCACACTTGGGCGGCTTCGTCTCTGCTAGCTGCTCTGACAAGCGGCAGCCCCGCCTGAGGCGCTACAAGGCATGGTGAGGGCAAGCAGAAAGCCGTGAGTGGTCGACGGCAACGCCCGGTGCAGAACAGCTGTCAGTACTGCAAACTCAGGTTTGATTGTTCTGAATTCTGAATGCTACTTATATAATATACATATATGTATATTCTTAGTTATTTATCATCATTTCAGGTCTTCAGTCTGCTACTCAGGTCTTGAACACATGAAACCACTCTTCATGGTCGGCCAGAACAGCACAGTTGTAGGAGCCCTTGCATGGTTCGTTGCGGCCGCCACCGACTGATCCCACGAACTCAGCAATTGGGTCCTGTCCAGACTGCAGGTGGGAATCGTATGGAATAGTCATGTCGATGTTTGTTTGATGTTCACATGGTAGTGGATATTTGGAACCACTTGCAGTTGTTGTACTCAACTCGAGTTGTATAAGTCATTGCTGCATGGATGCAACCCCTCATGGATGCCTTGGAGTGGACGCATCCGCACCTCTACGTCATGCATCGTGCAGCAGGGCCGGGGGCACGAGCTGCGGGACAACGCCAAGGATGAAAGCTGTGGATGGGGAGAGTCAAGTTACCGCGGTCGAATGAAACAGCTGAGTGAGCTGGTCTAACTAGCTTAGCTGGTGAGTTCAGGTGTACATGGACTTTTTTGGGGCACATTTCTTCCGCCCGCCGCCTTTCTGCTATTTGTGTGCTTTCCGTGATGTCGAAATGAGCTGAACTTCACAGTCAAACTCAAGTAGCCATAGTACATTTGCTGATCTGATGTTTTTTCCTAGATGTTGTGTAGCGTATTCTCGAAGTGTTCACCACGCATTGAAACCCCTTAAGATGCGCCAACTCAGAGGAGGATATCGAAAGGGGATCGTCCAAAAAG